ATTATAAAACTCATTAATATTCATAAGGCAAAACACAATAGAAATCATAGCCCATGAAGAGAGTTGTATATTACATACAGATTTCTTGTTCATTTGCATAAACTTTAACTCTGATTTTCTCGGTCAGATTGATTTTTTTTTCAAAAGTTTCTTTAAAACCTGAGCTAGTTTACCTCAACGTTTCATAAGTAATATACAATATTCGCGGGCGATCTGTATGAGGTTTAAAACAGCTCGCTTTCAGCTCGCTGTTTTAAATCCTCATACAGATCGCCCGCTCATATTGTATATATTATATATGGTTAATAATAATAGACTTCTGTACCTTTTATGTCACTATTTGATTTTAAATGCATTATGTGATCAGTTTTTTTAGTGAAAACAAAAGAAATCCACAATGTTGTACAATGCATTGAGTATATTACGGTACATGGCGTAAAAGCTTCATGTCTATTATTGTCTGTAGGTGTGAAGACATTTTGTTTTCATTTAATGCTTTCTGGTTGTCTCTTTCATTGGCATCTTTTACGATGGAACATCAAGATCTTAATTGTGATTGTTGTTCTTTCTTATGTCATAAGGACTTTCTTAGAGCTAGCTCGAAGAATTCACAGGATTGAGACTGAAACATTTGAGACTAAAATCCAAATTTTTCTTGGACTCATTAAAGAATCACAACCAACCATAGTACCTTGCAGGCCGAAGTGCAATTTTAGGTGGACACGAAAATGGCAGATTCATTAGGATTTCTTAAAGTGAGCGCAAATCGTCTTCCTTTCTTTCAGTTTGGGCAGAAATATCTTTTTAAAACTAAGTACCTCACAGGTACTATCAATCTATAAATTTATTGTATGCTTCTCGCACGCATTGAAACATCTGTAAATAATAACAAAAGCGCGCGCTGCATCATGGTTGGTTTAACATTAACACTTCCCCAGTGATGGAGAAATAACATGTTTCTTTTTGAAATGATTCTTTAGATATAGTGTCTCAGCTTATGAAAACAAAATCACTTTATTTTCAGAAAAGAAATCAAAGATGGAGTTGAAGATTTAATTTCCAAAATTAAAAGACTAAAACCTTTGGTAGCTTGTTTCAATGGCAAAGGTAATGATCACTGCCTTATTTAAATTAAACAAATATATCTAAAACTATTTCTAGTATTGATTTATACAAGACTAAGTTGGATATTAAATGAACTTGCAACATCTATATATTTTGTGAAATTTGGCTTTTTCATTTCTTAAAAAAGTTTCCTTTTATCCTTTTCTTCCTTTTATCCTTTTCTTCCTTTTATCCCTTTCTTTGTTTTATTTCAATTGCTTCCCTCTTTCCTTTTATAAGCACATCTGTTCAGTTTTCATTTTCGTCCATCCCCACTATTTCATTAAGGATTCTGAAAGGTATTTCTAATCCAAGTCCTTTTGTTAAAAGTCTGAATCCTATTACCATTGTAAGTCTTCTTCAAATAAATCCCAGTCACATTACATAACCTCCCATTTTCAGCTTATTAATAATATGGGAAAATGCATTCTTTGGTCCATTTTCAGTCATTTCTTTTTTTATGATTGGATTTCTGATGAATTATCAATGATTTTCTATTCCTTGGTAATCAAATGTACACGTTTCATGTTCCAGGAATTTATGAAATATTCTCAAGATCAAAGTGTGAAATTGGAAATCAGCCAGAATGCATACCAGGGACAGATGTTGTAAGTTTTTTCAATACGCCCTTTTCCTGTTTAAGACGCGGATGGCCACTTTCAACTAAAGAAAGAGTGAAAAAATATTGTTTTTACTTTATAAAGGCTTTAAAGGCCCTCGTGCACCCGTGAACCTTTGCGCGATTGTTGTCAAATACCAAAATTCGCCATCTTTGATTTTGAGCCAATCAGAAAGCAAACTTAAACAGGGGATCATTTGTAAAGCAAAACACTGATGATCGCAAATCGGAGGCACGTGGGCTTTCCTTGTAATCAAACACAATTAATAAATGATTTATAACTATTTTTTTTCTCAAAGCCTGTTTATGTCATGCCATCAACTTCAGGTCGTACGATGACGTACCCTCGTGCCAGCGACAAGCTTCGGTTTTTTCAAGAACTCAAAGAGTTGCGAGATGCAAGGAAAGCTATGACAGCAAATACCGTGGCTGAAGACAACACTTGAATTGATAGAAACGTTTTTTTAGTACAACTAAAAAATGATTGAAAATATCAACATAAGTGTACACAAACGCTGTATATATATCTAATACAGCAGCTGAAACTGTTCGTTGTTGGATTGTGGACACCCCACTGATATTCCGGACGCCCGTTATACGGAAACTTGAATACAGTAAATCTCCTCTCAAAAAAAAAGATATTGAAAATCACTCTAAGACATGGCGATCTTATTTATTGGGTCATTGAAATTAAAAATTAGTTATAAATGTAGTTGAAAGGTTTTGTTGTCAAAGTTTGTATTTGTAGCAAAGGTTGAAAATGATCTGTTTGGTGTTCTTCAGAACAGAGCGTGAAACAAAAAAGACAGCTAGCCTAAAACCGGCCTGATTCATCTAGATCCTTCGGCATACCATATTATTTGGGGCGCGCACCTTCTGACTTCAAAATGTGTCATTAAAGTCACGTGATGAATATTAACATAACGTTACTTTCAACACGGAAATTCATACAGACTCGGCAAAAAAACTGTCGTGAATTTGCTTTTCTTCCTGGAGATAATTTACAAGATACAAGTTTAACAGAAAATCTGAAGTAAGGGTGAAATTTAACGTTAAAAAGCGTAACCACAAACCTATTAGTTGTGGGAGTCTCCGCTCGACAATCGCCATTAGCCGTTCTCTCTCACAACGTTTTTTGAAAACGTCAAGACATTTAAGCAAAGAACTGTCTGATTTTAATGGTCTTCACTGGAACAACTGAGCATGAGGCCAGCAAAATGGTTTTGTACCCACGTTTTTGTCTTCTCATGTCTACTATTTTGCGGGAGAATTCACTATGTGATGTGTAATACCACATATGTTATACGTAAAGATAATACTGACAAGTTTGGTTCTGTTCATAATCCAAACGAATGCTTTAGGAAATATGCAAATATTGTATATGTAGCTGCTAAAGAGTGTCAATGTCCTTATGCCAAAAGCACATATTTTCACTTCAAGAATGCTTGTGTCAATAACTACTACTTTGAAAACGAGTTAAAAACTCAATCAGGTAATTTAATCTTTGTAATACTCCAATTTCGAGTTCTGGTTTGCTCTGTGTTAGCCTCAAAACCAAGTGACATATTCTTTTGTTTCATTGATAGCTCGAGAAAACGCATGGAATTTTGTGAAGAAAGACAATAAATTTGATTTGAAATCTCACGCTTTTATTCTCACAATAAGGAATATTTTGCGCACAGATGAGGCTAACACAGAGCATTGGAGAATTCGAAACTGGAGTATTACGACACTGTATCTTAATTTTTGCTCCGTTTACACTAGGCCTTAGTAATCCGTGAAATTGTACAAACCTCTCTGTTATTTTGTGCATTTTAGTAAATGGTGTTTTGAACAATAATGATTCAAAAAAATGTTCCGCCTCAGTTGCGAATATATTTCAAATTAGAATATAGAAATGTGAATGTGGTCTTACTACTGGAAAAGAAGCCAGAACTTCTCACTTTGAATGGGATTCGAACCCACGAACTTTGCAACACCGAACCCGTTCAAAGTCAGAATTTATTTTTTTGGCTTCTTTTCCAGTAGTAAGGCTGCATTCGCATTTCAATTTATTCTATTAAAGTAACTACTTAAGCACATACATTATATTGTGCAAATTATTTGAGACTTTTTCACAGATTGACTGCGTTAATTCTAGAAATATATTGATAAATCCTATTGGTTTAGCTGTTAGTGAATTTTTCTCAAATACCAACAAGGAAAATTAGAGAGTATACCGTAAATTTAATGTGAAGTAGTCCAACTGTTAACGCAGCAATCATGCGAATCAAAAGAGCATGAAAGAGATCATAAAAATGTGTCTATGAATTAATGATTTGTCGCAGCCACGTGGAATCGAAAACGAACGAGTGTTTTGAAGGCACTAGCCAAGAGAACTGAATTTTAACAATTCGCAGGCGGCGCGGTCAATTCGCAGGCGGTTTTCCATTGTCTGTACTCTTATTGACAATGAAATTGACGTAAAAAATGCTCATCAAGTGGAACCTCCAGCAGACAATGGAAAACCGCCAGCGACTAGAATTGCTGGCTCCATGGGCGAGCGATTCGTCATTTCATCGGTCTGGCCTGCGAGAATTCTACAAGTTATGGTGAAAAATTATGGTAAAAAATTGGTTTCACTGCCAAGTTTTGATCATTTTCTGACGCCATTTGAATTGTCGATAAGCATACAGACCATAAAAAGCGATTTCGATAATTAATTTGATTTCATCTCGTCAGGAATTACAAGCAATAGAGGCTTCGTTTGAGTAGGGTAGAGGATATGGTCAAAAAGAAAACCACCGCATATACGCTTAGGTCTTCTTCACGTAGAGCGGATTTCGTATGAGTGGGAAACGGACGGTACTGTACTGTGAACGTAACCGTACTGTATCCAAATTCTAGTGCCCCATTAGTTCACCAAAATTGTGCAGGCCAAGTCCGGTAATTGTGCGGTAACCGTGCGGTAACGGTGTCCCACTCATACGAATCCGCTCTATACAAGACTCTTATATACGTGAAGAAGACCTATTGAATACAATTCCATTCATCTTCTAAATGCTTAGTATGAGCCAGCAATAAAACATATACCAGTTTTGATTTCTTGCTCCTGCTTTAGTAATTATTTGTCTTCACTCGGGCTTCACACTAAAAATCATGTCGTGCGTTCTGCATCAGTGTAAACCGAACCGCTAAGCTTATTAATTACCTATTTGCTACTCTACAACTTTTATAAGATTTGTTTGCTTTTATTTATTGGAAACTTTTCGGTTCTTGTTGTAGTTTGTCCTGGAGGCTTGTTACGAATCCAAAGTGAGCCATATCCTGTGTTTGACCTAACAAATTCATCATCCAGCTCATTGAAATACGTCAAGACCTTTGATAGTCAATGCAGCTTAGAGAACTTGCATTATTTGGATGAATCGAGTGGAAAGCTGATCAATGCAGGGAGTTTAATTGCGAAATTGTTTTCTCTTGAAAAACGAACCAAGGTATGTCACTTATTCAGTCCTTTGAATGTGATCACTGAATCCGTACTACTGCCAAACCATCAAAGCGTTCATTATAGTCACACAATCATCACCTTCCAACACCAAAAACACTCTCTCGTTGCAGTAACATAGTCTACAATATTTCCTGATATTCTTATAATCATCACTGTCAATATTGCATCGCTACCACCACTACCAGTAAAGTCTCTAATGCTTTTATTGTAAGATCCATACCAGGCGCATAGCGTGGACTTTACTGACACATGTCAGGGACCGCGCGCGACACATATTTTGGATTGGAGGGGAGGGAAGGGGGAGTTTGCTAACGACCGCGAAAGGCGGAAGTATAAAGAGGGGTCTGTGTTCTTCCCCCAGGAAATTTTGAAAAAATAACTCTTGGAAATGCAATTTCCAGTGTTTTGAGGGGCATCGAGAGCATATAAAAGGCATCACTTTTATGTGAATTCTTTAAAAAAGACAATTCTATAACAAGTTAAATATAAAAGATCCCGAAAACTGTAATATTCTTGCCACTGGTACGCACGTGCGTATATGCGTAAAGAGGAAGCTACGCGCCTGCCTATAATCATTTTCATCATTGCCACCATTTTGGTAGCTGCTTTCGCTGCTTTTGTCGAAAGGCTTCATCCCCACCATATTCTCCATGATATGAACGATGATTAATATGATTCCTATCATTCAGTCAATCGTTGCAGTAGTTTATGATTTATGTCCCACAGACGACAGTACATTTACTCTGGCGTTCAACATATGTATCAAGTTTCTTAAAAGGGAGAGTTGTCCTTCTTGAATTCAATAAAAACTGCAAAGTTGAAATGCAGTTCTCATCACCAAGTTTTGGCACTAAACCCTGTATTATCTTCAAGTCGCTAGGAACTTTAACATGTAAGTATACTTAACTTTCCTTTTACGTCACAGCGGCCATCTTGGTTGACATTCGACGAGTTATTTCTCATTAGTATTTATTGCACCCTTCTAACATGGCCGCCGGTCGTTTATGCTTTGAATCTCATGGGAATGATTGATAACATCTTAGCCGGTGGTTTATGAAATTGTAAACTAGCTGGTGGCGAATCGTCTAAAAAGATTAGATTAAGGTGTGGAAACAGACACCAATATGGCTTTTATATACAGTGGCTTCTTTACTGCGATCAGACAGGAGGAGCCGATGGGGTCGGCTGTTCTTCTTAATAACTGTTCTTGTACGAATTTCTTTTTGTGGGAAAGTGAATTTTGAGCTACATTGTTGACAATCTCACAAGCAAATGTGGCGCCCTTCAGTTTGAAATAATTTTGTTCCTGGAAAAAGGTTTTTAAGGTCAAAAAAACCTTTATATATATAACTTTCTTATTTTCAAAAATGTCTTAAGCTTATATTTTATTTTAGTTAGGCCGAAATTTTTATTTTCCTGGCAAAAATTCTTAGAAAGTATTCCTTGCCGTGGAGAGTTCTTTTTTCCTGAATTTCTCGCTGGCAAGCAGTTATGACTTACAGGACATAAGGACAGATATATTTCTCCCAGGAGAGATATATTTCTCCCAGGAGCCCATCGGCCCCTCATAAAAAGAGGAGTCTGAAATTCGTGCATAAAGAACAATCATATTTAAAAATGCATATTCTTATTTCATGTTGGCATTACACCAGACGTAAATCACTTCCTGTGTAACACTACTTTTCTTTAGTTGTTTGCCACGTTTATTCCATCAAGTTACGTAAAAACTATATCACATGTGTTGCTCGAGTGATTACTCTAAAGAAGTGTAACACGATACGACTAAAAGGATAATATACTGTATGTCAATAGTCTGTTAATTATCTACTTAACACTCTCCCCCACTGAAGAAACGGTCTTCCAGCGTCCTCTTTCTTACAATAGTATTGTCCTTTGCTTGAGTAAGGTTGATCAGGCCTCACTTAATTAATAATACTAATGTCTACTCTAAAATACAGATCTTTCAAATCTGAACAATATTTTGTATCTATATGCTGGTAAAATACCCATCGGGTACGAAATTCGTAGCAATGTTTTTTTTTCTTTTGGCTACAATATAAATGAATGAAATATAAAATATGAATAATATAATGTCAGATATGTGTCCATTAGTTATAAGCTGGTACAGGTGCTGTGTAAGCAGGTGACATCAGTGGTTGATAACTTGGATGAACAGGAGAATGGAACTGTCTGTACTGAATAGGAGGGTAAAACTTTTGGTATGGGTACATCCATGGTTGTAGACSAAACGCATTGATGGGGTTCATGTAGACTGGCATCCCTGGGTTGACATATGTAAACCGCTGCGGTGCTTGTCTGTGTCTTTGTGGTCTGCCTTGTCTAATGAGCTCATCATCTTGTGGATGTTGCTGTACCTCATTCTGTGGTTGCTCTTCAATCTCACTGTCCTGTATCTGTGGTTCGATTTGGTGTTCAGTATCGTCATTGTGTTCCACCTGATGATCAGTCACTTGCTCTTCATCCCACACTTCTTGCGCACTTACATTCATTGACTTGTGTAGCCTCTGTGCTTCAAGTGGTGTGAGTGAGGGCCACTCATCCTCTGACGACAAGTTTAAGTCTTCAATGACATCTGGTTGTGGTTCGACCATGACTTCTGGTTCTTTGTTCTGGCGTTTTGATTTCTGTTGTGGTGCGACAGGAGCTGGAGGTTCTGCCTGCATGAAGTCACAAGGGAGTAACAAGTTCCGGTGAAGGGTTCT